CCCGGGGGGGGCGGCTTCCGCAACGTCTACGCCGAGGTCCTGCACTTCCAGTCCATGTGCTCGTGTCTGTGGTACAAGAGCCGGGAGAAGCTGCAATATTCCATCCCCATGATCATCCCCCGGGACCTGTCCACCTCGGACACGTGCGTGGAGCAGAGCCAGTCCTCGTCGGGCCGCTACCCCGACACCCCGGCCAACAGATGCTTCTGCAACGCCCAGCGCTCGGCCATCAGCTCCGTCTCCACCGGACTCCACAGCCTCTCGGCCTTCCCGGGACTCATGAAACGCCGCAGCTCTGTGTAATCTTCCCCCCAACACACACACACACACACACACTGGGGACCTTTCTTTTTTGTAGAGAGGGGACCCTGATGGAGACCAGCAAAACCCGGTGAAGAAAAACCCACCGATTTCAGTGAGATTCACCTGGGAGCTCTCCCAAAGGACGGCCCGACGGCTGGGAGGGATGTTAGATGCACAAATGTCCATGCCGACGCATACATCCGTGTGTGGGTGGAGGGACGCACACGCACACGCCCGGGGTAAGCGGTCTCCAACGCTCCTGTCCTCGAGAAACTCTTTTTGAGACAACTCCGTGAAATGTGAAACGGGACGTGCGGTCAGCGCTAGCTTTCGAAACGGCCGGCCCCCTCTATTTATACCTCTCTGGGCTGACAAGGGGGCCTGGCACACGGCTCCCGGCCCTGGAGAAATACACGAGGCATGCACCCCCGGCACTTCGACCCTCACGTCTGTAAGGGGTGGCAGGACTCCTCCTTGCCCCCCCCTTGGATGAGTGTTGCAGCTGTAAGGAGGGGTAAGCGGATCTTGTAAAAGCTGCAGGCAGGTTGGTGCACACGCCTAATGTCCGTGTGGTTTGGTCAATTACACCCCCCCCCATATTCCGTGCACAACAAGCAAGCGGAGCTCAAGATCCGTCCTCCCTTGGCCGGGGACTTCTTCCTTTTTCCAGCTCCTCCTCCCGGGGCGTTTCCCTGGGTTCCCCTAAACGATACGTTTCCAGCCTCCCGGCCTCTGCCGCCCCCCGGCTCCCGAGGCGGCCGCACTGCGCTAACACGGCATCGGCGCTCGGCCCCGTTGCGGTGACGGCGATGTTGTCGAGACCCGAGGCCCCAGCTAATCCCTCTGTAATCCCCGGGGTTTAGCCTCCAATCCCATGGGACGCAGGACTGTGCTGAAAATAGGGGAGGGGGGTCCCTAGACCTGCGGGAAAGGACTGTGTTTGCTCCTGGGGGAGCCACGCCCGACGTGGGGCGCACACGGATGTAACGGACCCATTGGGAAGTCAGAGTGAGTCGTAATTTACGCGCCGTGGGAAGGAGACTGCTGAGTCTACCTCTTCCAGCTGGAATGGCTGCTTTCCTGGCGGCCACCCTTTTCAGCCTCTCCGCAGGCAAGTTACATCCTCCGCCCGATGGCTCCCACCTCGCATTAATCGCCCCGGCCCATCTGCTCATGCCATGCCCCAGCATGAGGTCCTGTCCCCTTGGCATCATTTGCAATCCGCAGTTTGAGGGGTGGGGGGAAGGGATCCCAGGGCAGCAAACCCCCCAGGTTAAAAGTCCCGCAAATCAGGCTAAGAGGGTCTTAGACCGAAGCTCTTCCTATTCCCCCGCACGTGAGCCAGACACCACGGGCCGGGTGTCACGTCGCCGGCTCTCTGCTTCAGGCCGGCCTGGGATGGAAATCGGAGGGGTCCATTCGAACCGTTTCTTATTCGCCACCCCAGGGGTTTGCGGCTTCGTAAATATCGCTACGGCGTGGAGGTTGCAAGCCCCCTCGGAGCTGCCAGCGTCAGGAAAACAGAGGCTCCAGGACAGCCTGGGAAAGAAAAGCCCCGGGCCCTTTCTGGCCGGCTGGGCTTGGAAGAAGGGGGTTTGCTCTGTGACTGGTGGCGCGTCCACCGTAAGCAATAACGAAACAGGAACGGGTGCTGTGTCTGCGTTCCCGTACCTAGCCACTTCCGGCTACAGACGCCGCCCGTCTTGCCAGGCCTTAGTCTCAAAGGGATGCGAACGGGCCAGCGCTGGGCGGGGGAGATCTCGACACGGATTCTGAGGACGCTGCGGCCTCCCCGGCGTTCGGTTCTGTCCGAACACCGCTCCCCGTGCAAACGGCCGCAAGGACCCCCACAGGTCGGAGAGGCAAAGCCGGGTTCTCTCCGCCTCTCTCCTCGACGGCGGCAATCGGGATTCCGTTGGGAAAGACCAAATTCCAGCCCCCCGCCTCGGTGGCCACATTCGCTCTGCTGGGAATAAAACAGACGTTGTCGCCAGGTGCCGCCCATAAGGCTCCGGGCTACCCCAGCGCAGCAAAGCTGATGGGTAGAGGGGCTGGTTTTACTAGTGGTGACCACGGCTGCACTTTCCAGTTGCCAGGCCTCCTCTTCTCCTCCCTCTGTCCCTTCTGGGGAATGTCCTCCTGGTGCCTTTCCTGGTGCCCGGCCTTTCTTCCCCACCCCGCCAGCATGGGGGTGTGGTGGGGAGAGGCTGGGGGCCGGCAGG